CACATATTTTTCACCATCAAATTCAAGTTGATCCAGATTAGAAGTCAGCGTGACTGAAATAAGACTCATCGAAGTTCTGCAGTCATGGTGCGATTATGGAAATTGTAAAGAATGAGAGTCAACTTGAAGGTTTGATCGCGAAGCACGATCAACATCCATCAATACGAACCATCGTAGTGATGGAGGACGTTCCGTCGGCGTTAATGGATCAAGCTAAAATCGCTAATATTGATGTATATTCCCTGAACGAGTTACAATCAATCGGACAGAAAATGACGAACAAGCCTCCTTTGCAGGTGATCGCAAAACTGGTTACTCAACTGCTGATCAGTATCGCTGATTTGCAGCTGATGGGACTATGAGTTTGATAGGTTTTGTTGCATAATTTGTGCATCAGATCGTGTCTGCATTATTACCGAGATCATTATTAAAACTGCATTGCATTACTGAGATATTATCCTGTAACCGAAATATTATCTTGCAATCGAATATTATCCTGGTAAAAAATTCCTTTTTCAGTTGCCCTCTTCGAATGATCTTTGTACAATAGCGTATACATCTGGGACAACGGGTAAGCCGAAGGGTGTAATGCTAACGCATGGCAACGTTATCGCTTGTACAACTGGTCTCCACTACCTTCAACACGTTCCATTTCGTGTCGACGTGAGTTGCCGCTTCCATTACTTTATTCATATCGAAGAAGCAGTAATCACTTACGGATCAGTTTAATCCGAGAAATTACTCAAGGATGGAGTCTAGACGTTCAAGAGTATTCCATTCGATGACGATACCTTTGATATCCTATGAATTAAGATATTTTTGTGTTCATAAGCTATCGAATTCAGAGTATCCCTCCATACTGAATCTCTAACAGTCAATTCATCAATACTTTTTAATTTGTTCGATCGTGGCTATTCAATGCACTGCCGTTGACCTCACGTTTTGCGCTCAATAAATGTGGTTTTCTTCGCCCTCCGAATGCATGTTCAGCAAGTTAACGATAAGCAAGATGCGCTGTGTGATGAACTACGCTAAGATACATTCATCCACAAATTTTTTTATTTTTAGTGATCAGCATAAAATATAAATCATTTGGAAGAAGATAATATTCACATTCAGCTACCATTTGTATGCGATAACATAGAGTGTTGTTTAGGACGTGATGTTCAGTTTCTTGCCGCTGGCGCACATGTTTGAGCGTATGATGGAAACAGTGGCGTTTATGACTGGCATGCGGATTGGTTATTATAATGGCGATATCAAAACGGTTGTGGATGATATTAAGGAACTGAAACCAACTATATTACCGATGGTGCCTCGGGTGCTGAATCGGATATATGATAAGGTTATCTGAACTTATTCTCGAACTCCATCAACAGTCTCGTGAAACTCAGTTTTGTTGTAATTCTGGCATCAAGAAAGACCCATTCATGTTGAGGATGTGAAGCAACTGTATATGTTTGATGCATTCTCATCTGTTAAGGTTATGAATGAGGTGAAGAAGTCATTGGTTTCGAGAATATTGTTCAATGCGGCATTNAAGACAGCAAAGACGCTAGTCCGTAAACTAATAATTTCATTCGATTATCTAAAATCGTTCCTCAAATAATAAATGAACAAATTCAATGAAGAAATAGCTCAGTCCGTTCCTCTTGACTGAAGGAATGCCATGAATTTTTCTGGTCATTTTCGAAACAAATTTGTTAAAAGATAGACGTTTAAGGGGGTTTGTACGCAACGATACAATTGTGGATAGAACAGTTTTCAAACGGATTCGTGATATTCTTGGTGGACGTGTGAGAATTATTATTACTGGGTCAGCGCCAGCCGCTAGAAATGTACTCGAATTTGCACGTGCCACAATGGGTTGCGTGGTTATAGAAGGTTATGGTGAGTCATTTCAGTTCCTGGAATTCATTTCGTTTAACTGTGGTTTTCTGATTTGGTGTGACACCTTATGTTTTTTCACCTCCGAATTTTTTGAATAAGTTTCAGCTATTTATGAATATCATCTCTACTAGATTTGAAATAAAGAAGAAATAACGATTGGAATGATTCGACCCAATTGCTCATAAAATTAGTTTAGGCCAGACCGAATGTGTGGCTGAATGTGCTCTTTGCATAGAAGCAGATACGAGTACAGGATGCGTTGGAATCCCTGTACCATGTAATGCCGTAAAACTTGTCGATGTTCCTGAATTGGGATATTTTGCGAAAAATATGGTAATTTTTGAGTTTCAGTGATTTGATGTGACCGATTCATGTTAAGATATAAATATTCATTCATTTCAGACGGGTGAGGTTTGTGTACGAGGACATAATGTCTTTAGGGGTTATTATAAAGATGACGCTGCAACCAAAGAAACACTCGATTCGGACGGTTGGTTGCATACTGGTGACATCGGTAGATGGACCGATGTCGGGACCTTGCAAATCATTGATCGAAAAAAATACATTTTCAAGTTATCACAGGTATTGTAATCTGAATGAAAATCGGAATCTTTCATAGTAACATAAATTCATAAGTA